TGTTTGCCCATCATGCATTTTTCATAAGTTTGAACACATCCTTACTCTCTGGCACAAAACGATGTTCCAGGCTCGTCTTGTACTCTTCCTGCCAGCACCCCCTCCCCTCCCAGAAAACAACAACAAATGGAATTTGCTGTTTGCGCACTCTGATTCCTCAGATTGGGGAATGGTATTTAGAAATCAAGATCTGAGTGATTGACAGTTACGAAGGGAAGTAGGAAGAATGAATTATGAGTTCATACTTTTACCTCCAGTTCATAAATCAACATCGTAATGTTCTTTTCTAGTTCTTTTCCTCCATTCCATGGTGCATCTTCATTCTCCAAGAGTCAGAAATTTGTCTCCCAGTATCATCCATATATTTACTGGGGAATGCGGACATGAATCCAAGTAGAACTTGGAGGTTCTGTCATTCAAGGAAGGAGAGAGTGGGAGTATTGGACAACTAATACCAGAGGTGATCTTTGAATGGCATAGTCTGCCAAACATCATAACTTTTTCCATTTCCCTCCTTTAAACCAAATAAAATTTCCCAGTAGGACCATGTAGAAAATTACCTGATAGAAAAACCCAAGAAGGGATAACCAGGTGAGAATTTTGCAGTCAGAGTTTCCTTGCAGATCTTAGGACAGCTAACGTGAAGGAACAGTTCCTTATGAAGTGTAGCGGGGAGCTCTCCTACCCTGTGAGTGCAACTAATGCCATTGATCAGCATCGCTTTACTTGATCTAGTAATACTGTTTACCTCTCATTCTCCACTTCTCAGAAAGAGTTTGGCAAACTTCTCAGATCATCAAGGACCACAGCCCTCCACTGCTTCTTGAGAGTACCCAAAGCATTTTAGGAGAAACTAGTGTTAAAGAGACCATACCAGAATATCGGTTACAGAGCAGTGTAGTGTAATGGTTAGAGAGCAGACTCTGGAGTTAGACTTTCTTGTTCGTTCAGCCATTTGCTAGTAGGGTAACTGCAGACAAGATGTTTAACCTCTCTGTTCTTCACTTTGCTCGTGTCTTCCATGTCGATAACAATATCTCAGTTCTGTTACAAGGGTTAAAACTATATGCCTGGCACATAGTAAGAGCCGTACAGTGTTAACTATTATTTTCAATGTAGACTTGTCACTACTATATTTCTATTTATATTAATTGTAAATTTCTGAGCCAGGGATCAGTAAACTATAGCCCGCTGGCCAAATCTGGCCTGTATCTTATTTTTGTATGGCCTGAGAGCTGAGTTTTTACATTTTTAAAGAGTTGTAAGAAAAAAAAGCAAAGAGGGACCTTATGTGGCTCACAAAACCGAAAACATACTGTCTGGTGCTTTATAGGAATTTTGCCATCCCCTGGTCTAAGCAAATTTCAGTTTCTTGGAAGCCCTTTCTTCTGAGATACATGCATAATACCTGATATAAAGATATATACTATCTCAACACTCCCTAAAATGCTTTAGGTTTAAAAAAGTTACATCAGAAAACACAACCACATTTTTTATAGAAAATTCTGACCATATACAAAGCAATGTGTTACATGTCTAATGTGTAGCTAATCTGCAGTCCTGTGAATAGATGTTATTTATTTCTCCACTTTTGCCTGTAAGAAACCTTCGGTTTTACAGGGTTAAATACCTTCTTCCCCAAGTCAGTAGGTGGTAAATAACACAACCAGAGTGTGAATTCAGGTCTGACTTAGAGCTACTCTTAAATCCCGTCTGCATGAATTGAATTGCAAGGCCAGAACCGCCACACTTGCATTCTGTAGAGCATGCACGCTATGCCACATGAACAAAGCACAGGAATGGAAAATCCATAGAAAAATACAAAATTTACCTAGGAAGCTTTTTGTCCCATTTCTACTCGGGCTTTTCCTGTAATATGTCAATAATCTAAGGGGTATGTTTTGTATTTCCTAGATTACATTTCTTTTTTTTTTTTGTTTGAGACAGAGTCTCACTCTGTTGCCCGGGCTAGAGTGCCATGGCATCAGCCTAGCTCACAGCAACCTCAAACTCCTGGGCTCAAGCGATCCTCCTGCCTCAGCCTCCCAAGTAGCTGGGACTATAGGCATGTGCCACCATGCCCGGCTAATTTTTTCTATATATTTTTAGTTATCCAGCTAATTTCTTTCTATTTTTTTTTTTAGTAGAGATGGGGTCTCGCTCTTGCTCAGGCTGGTGTCGAACTCCTGAGCTCAAACGATCCTCCCACCTCGGCCTCCCAGAGTGCTGGGATTACAGGCATGAGCCATGGTGCCCAGCCCCTAGATTACATTTCTGACCTCGATGATGTCATTAATTTTCAAACCTTCGTTATTTTTGTTTTTAATTTTTTTAGCACACATCTCTAACAGAATTTCAAACTTTTCTTTGTGTTTGATGACTGAAAAGCCACTGGAATCATACACATAAAAACTAACAAAAGTATTACATGTAGTGCATTGGTGTTTGGTAGAGGCAAACCAGGGGGCAGGATGGGATAAGAATTCTCAATGTATTGTTTATATCATTTAAATTTTGTACCATGTTAATATATTACCTAGTATAGAAAAAAACTTTTTTTTGTTCATTTTCTTCTCCCCAGCATTAGCTCACTTATCCAGGCCTATGTTTCCCCCTCACTCAGTTGTCTTCACCTCCCCTCTACCCTCCAGGTTTACAGACTTTCCGTGTTGCCAGGTATTTGAACTACAGGAACTATTGCTACATCCTGCTCTCCATTCCACTCCAATTATACTTGAAAACATTCTCATTGAAAATACATTAAGTTGCTTGACATTCTATGTGGGGGAGGGGAGGCGGGGGATTAAAAATTAAAATAACACATTAAAGTTAAACTGCTTTAAGAATAGCAGAGTGATGTCAGCAAAATAATAGAATTGGTTACTCCAAGGGCCTGTTCCTCCACAGAAACAACAAGAAAAATGATTAAAAATTGTCAGAATCACCTTCTTTGGAACTCTGAAAAATAGCCCAAGGTTTACAGCACCCCAGAGAGTGCTGAATAGAGAAAACAGCACTTAAGATAGTCCCAGCTACTCGGGAGGCTGAGGCAGGAGGATCGCTTGAGCCCAGGAATTTGAGGTTGCTGTGAGCTAGGCTGACGCCACGGCACTCTAGCCAGGGCAACAAAGTGAGACTCTGTCTCAAAAAAAAAAAAAACAAAAAACTGAAGAAAAAAAAAAAGATAATACGG